AGCTTACAGAATTTCACAGGTATTCAGTCTGAAAATGAGACCAGTGCGCTGCTTATGTGCTTACACACACATGTCTTTCATCTCTTTCTCACACATGCACACTACATGCATACACACTTGAATTGTAATTTGTGGTAGCCAAGTATTTTCTGGAAACTTGGTGTATCCACAGTGGTTTTCTGGTTTTCTGTGAACATATGTCGCAATCTGACAAGTGGAAGCAGGTGGAAGCAAACTTGCAGGTGCAAGTAGAAGTGATTTTGAGCCCAATTCACAGTGCTAGGTTTGACTTATAAAGCCTTACAAACAATACCTCACAGATCACCTTTGCCTGTATGAGGCTACTTGGACACTGAGACCAATATCTGAAGCCCTGCTCTGTATCCCTGCCTCAAGAGAACGGACCTTTTCCGTGGTGGTCCCCTGACTGTGGTATGCTCTCCCAGGAAGGATTTATCATCCCTGCTATTGGGCAATATATATTGATTGATTGATTGATTGATTGATTGATTGATTAATTGGTATCAGGCATTTGGACAGCAGTATTGGTCTGGCTTTTGGTGGTTGAAAAATGCAAGTAAGTGTGAATTTCAAAGGACAGCTGTGTTTTGACTTACCTCCTGTTTCAGTAAGTGCAACTTTGATAGATTTGGCTACAGATGAGAGCTGAATCAAGTCAGATGAGACCTCCCATCTATAATCCAGAAAGGTCTAGAGTCTAGAACAGGGGTGGCTAAGCTGTGGCCATCTATATTTTTGTAGAATCAAAGAATCATAGAATTGTACAGTTGGAAAGGGCCATGAAGATTATCTCATCCAATCCCCTGTAATGCGAAATCTTAACTAAAGTATCCCTGATACATGGCCATCCATGTTTCACTGTTGAATAGCTCTTACTGTCAGAAAGTTCTTCCTGGTGTTTAGCTGGAATCTCCTTGCTTGTAACTTGAACCCATTGGTTGAACTCCAACTCCCAGCAGTGTAGCCAATGCTCAGGAATGATGGATTCAGCAAGATCTGGAGGGCTACTGAGCAGTCAGTCCTGCCCTAGACAAAAGTTCCCATGGGGTTGTTATTGACCTGGCCAAAAGTACTTCCCCTTTGAGGAAGAAGAGTTGTCCCAGAATAACAAAATGAATGTGCTGAAGGAACATTAATGAGTGTAAAAATAATATTTCACCCAATAAGCCCTCCCTGTCTTATTACATAGTTACTACTCTGAAGTATGTTCTTAAAGGAATGACCCTTATGTTCTTAAGGAATGAATAGCATTTGTTGATTGTATCCTTGTTTATTTTTCCACCAAGACAGTTGCACCAACTCCCTTCCTCTGCAAGTTCTCCCTATTGTAATTCTGAATACAGCCGATCATCCAGGTAAGATTCTGTTTGTGGAAACACGTGAATAATTCTGTAGCATTGTGTAGCATTGTCCCACAAATAATGTCACCCATACATACCTTTAAAAAAAAAAAATTATTAAAATTTTCCAACAAAATTTACCATAATCAATTCTAAATTAAAAAACCCAGAAATTGCATTTTACATTTCTATTCCCTCCCCCCCAATTTCCCTTTTTTGGTTTATCACTTATTCATTTCTTCTGCATGTAGTTTTCTATACCTTATATATTGAAATTGAAATCATATCTTATTGACATATTCTTAACATTTTAGCCTCATATTTATATTTTCTATTTCTATTTGTTACTTGTAAGTGTCTTAATCAAATCCTTAATCACTCATACATACCTAAAGCCTAAGCTTGCATCTATATCAAACTTAGGACATCATTGAAACAGTTGATTGTTTTCATACATCCTGCTTTTTAGCTACAAAGAAGGTAACCATCATTTTGGATAAACATCTGGCAGAAGAGAATCATACTCTCAGTAAAGATTGATAGATGATATTGCTGCTGCAGTCAGACAGTAAAAAATTTCTAAAGTGTGGAATCTTTTCGAGAAGTGTTGCAAGCTTAGTTGTCTCAGAGGCTGTTCACTGGAGGCCTTGAAGCAGTATCTGATGTGAAGTGCATTGCCTCTCAACATCCAATTCTCAACTCATAGATGAAGAAAGTATTTAGTTGTTGTTAGCTACCCTCTCTTCACCCTAAGGTCCCAGGGTAAAAGGTAAAGGGACTCCTGACCATTAGGTCCAGTCGTGACTGACTCTGGGGTTGCGGTGCTCAACTCGCTTTATTGGCCGAGGGAGCCGGCGTACAGCTTCCGGGTCATGTGGCCACCATGACTAAGCCGCTTCTGGCAAACCAGAGCAGCACACGGAAATGCCGTTAAGGTCCCAGGGTGGGTCACAACAATTAAAACAAAATGTTAAAAACAGTTTAAAGCAACTTAGATATAAGGTGATTATCCCTTTCAGGCATGGGCTCACGGCCATCAAGCATGCGCTCCTAATCCTCTTCTAAAAGTGTCCTTCCGGCAAAATTATTTGCAGACTAGGCTACCAGAAGCTGAAGACAAACAAGTGGTATAGATGTTCTTGGTTTCCTATAGTCTTAATTTCCAAGGGAAAGGGAGTGGGGAGGCTGTCTTCTTCTTTGGCGATCACTTGTAGCCGAGTAAGATTTTAAACACGGTTTAAAAAGTGACTGTGGAGGCCAATTCTGGATCCACATGTCCTTCCACAGTGGGGACATTGGTTTCCGGGTTGATCACGGTGAGGATTTGCCAAAAGTGCCTTCCTCTTAGCACATTACTCCCTTTTCAAAGTCCATGACACCTTTGGTAAAGGCTGTTCTCCAAGTGGAGCACTCACAGGCCAGTGTTTCCCAGTTGTCAGTGTTTATACTACATTTTTAAAGATTTGCCTTGAGAGAGTCTTTAAACCTCTTTTGTTGACCACCAGCATCACGCTTTCCATTTTTAAGTTGCATAACTCTTTATATTAATTTGTTTACTTATTTAGTGCATTTCTATGTGGCTCTTCATTTTAGCAGTCACATTCAAGCAACAATTAAAATAGACAAGAAAACCATTCATAAAACTATAATTCCGATTAAAACCAACCAAACTTCTCTAGCAAATAGGTTAACTCTACTTTCAGCTGGACATAGCAGACCTCAAAGTCCAGGGTGGGGGGAAAAAACATGTGTGCCCCAGTAAGGAAGGCTTTGAAATACAGTGGTACCTCAGGTTGCATACGCTTCAGGTTACAGACTCCGCTAACCCAGAAATAGTGTTTCAGGTTAAGAACTTTGCTTCAGGATGAGAAGAGAAATCGTGCTCCAGTGGTGCGGCAGCAGCAGGAGGCCCCATTAGCTAAAGTGGTGCTTCAGGTTAAGAACAGTTTCAGGTTAAGAACAGACCTCCAGAACGAATGAAGTACTTAACCCAAGGTACCACTGTATGCTTAAAGTCATATCAAGGTGCCACTTAGTTTCAGTATTGTTTTGCTGACTCCTGTCAATAGCAGTTGAAGGGAAGCTGATCTGACTCCTGAGTTTGCAGACCGTTATTAATCTGTATCAGTTAAGCTGGACTGTGTGCTCTGATTGTTAGAAACTGGCATTTGGAATTGGACATCCTGCCTACATTTAATTGTAACTTAAACTGTTGTTGAGCTAACATTTAACTGTCCATTAATAATAGCAACCAAGCATTATATATTTTGCATGTTTATTAGACTTCATTTATTTCATCCCCCCCATCCCTCCACACCTATTATCATAGCCATAGACTACTGGACTCTAAATGAAAGAGGTAACCATGTGATTTCATGCTGGCCCGCTTCCTTTATATTTCTGTAGGCACGTTCTGCAAGCATTAGATTGATAAAAGACACAATGTAGATGGGCCCATGGCTGAGCTGAGGGTAATTGCATTAAAAAAATATATGAAATGGAGACCTATAATTGTGCAATGCTTTCTCTCGACTACAATGTTTTCTGGAAGACAGGATCCTGCTTGTCATAGCAAGTTGCTTGTTATGGTGATTGTACTAGGACTTGATCTTGCTGTAACAAGACACATATAACATTACTTAGTGGAAGCTTTTCAGAATAAGAGCCTGACAGTAAAATGCACTCTATTTTCATTCTTGAACAAACAAAAGTCCTTGAATGACAGCTTTTTTCTTACCCTTTTCTTTGAGGGTGTTGTAATGGGGAATTCAGGTTAAATCTATGCCTTTTATACTTCTCATTTTGATTTCCTCTCCAACAGCACTTGAAGGATAAAACTCAGCTTGATGCACAGGGCAGCTTGTGGATATAGCAAATGCTAATCTAGCATTTACTGATTATTTCCTTCTGATTCTCTCCGTCTAGTGCCATTGAATGCTTAAGTGCATTTCTTGGGCCATAGTGGGAACACTGGAAATTGCACAGAATTTGAGGGTGTGCTTTAAAGGGGGGGGGAGTTACACTTTAAATTGAGTGTTGCTAAATTTTCCCAGAGCCAAATTGTTCTTACCTGTGCATCTTCTAAAAACAATGAAGGGAAGGGTCTCTGGGACTTGGCCTCAAAGGAACAGGAGCAATATATGACTGTGTGCAAATGAAATGGATCTGAGGGGAAATCTAGTTGAAGTTTCCTTGCTTAATTTGTGAGAGGTGTCTGGTTAAGAGCCTGAACTTCTGAGTCAATTCCCTGTTTCCTAATCCCAGGACATCTCTAAGTCAAAGTTTGCTAGCCTCATGATCTTTGTCTATATGTCAGTGAGTAACAAGATTTATAGATTATTGTTCTGTCGTGTTTAGTGATGATGACGATGATGATGATAATAAATAGCCTTGATTGTTTTTCAATAAAAGGGCAGCATTAAAATGTTTCTAAATTACAAAAATATATATGAGCCCATTACACCATGTTAGCTACAGCAGCAACTACCTGAATCCTGTCATTTCGTTGATGGCATTGGGACATTGCATACGACATGTGTGCTATATATTGGTGCAATCTCTAAATGCCTAAGCTTCCTGACCATTTTTATTATCTTCTCCACTCTAGAAAATCAGCTAGCAATTAAGGATGAGAAGCCTATGAAAGGTATTGTTCTCAGCTCAGTATCAGAATTCGGCATCACGGACGTGCCATCCAAGGACACCAAAAATGAAAGAAAACTGTCAGAATCTAGTGCGTCTACACTGTCGTCCCTGGAGAAATGTAGCACACAGTTCAGCTACCTTGAAGATGATGCATCAGTCCACGAGAGGGACAGTAATGGTACGTTTTGAAAACTGTGCAGAGCCCTAGACGTAATCCATTTAAATGCTCTGTATACACACACACACACATACACATATACTCACGAGGAAGGCATTGAGATGGTGAGAGGGATCATGAAAGATGACATTTTATAAGCAAAGCTGCCACTGCTTACTGGGAGAGGTGAGGCAACTGCAACGTCAGGGCTGCGTGGAGGCAATGCAGTGCTTCTGCTGGGGTGCTGGGCAGCCCTGACCTCACTGCTACCTTTCCCCTTTCTGCCAGGAGCCTATTGCTGCAGCTTTGTCCCAATAATAGATCCACTCTTTCCACCATTAGAAAGTGTGAGGCAGCCACCTTAGGTGGCAAGTGCTTAGGGAACATGTGTGTGTGTGTGTGTGTGTGTGTGTGAGAGAGAGAGAGAGAGAGAGAGAGAGAGAGAGGCTTTCCATCTGCTGCTCGCCAACACATGAAGACCTCAAGGCCAAATTGGTTTCCACCCCTTCTTAAGACGTTATCATCCTATCTCCCGGCATCTCCATTGTGAAAAGAAAAGTGGTACTATTCTGAGTTGGGGCTCCATCTGCCTTCCTCTGCTCCTGGCTGGCCCTACATTTCTGGTTCCTGAGGCTACATTTCCCCACCAGGTTCTTCTTCACGGTATGGAGGACCTTAAGGTCCACAAATAACAACACTTTGGAGGTCCCTAGCCACAAGGTGGTTAGATTGGTCTCAACTAGGGCCAGGGCCTTTTCAGTACCGGCCCCGACTTGGTGGAACGCTCTGTCACAGGAGACCAGGGCCCTGCGGGATTTGACATCTTTCCACAGGGTCTACAAGGTGGAGCTGTTCCGCCAAGCCTTTGGTTTGGACTCAGTCTGATCCTTATGTTTCCCTCCCCTTACGGTTTCGATTTATGGGATACTACTAAAAAGAGGCTGCATTTTAAATTGTATTTTAACCTGTATTTTTAACCCGTAATTTAATTAACTGTTTTTCTTTTTCTTTTACGTTTTATTGTAATTTTATTGGTGTTAGACGCCCTGAGCCCGGTTCTGGCCAGCGAGGGCAGGGTATAAATAAATAAAAATGATAATTATTATTATTCCCCACGTTGTGTGGGAACATTGGGTTTCCATATTTTTGCTCAGCCGCAAGAATTGTGCTGCCATTCTCTGGTGAGTGAGTGATGAGCTCAGCCTTGCTCATAACTCTGGAGCTGGAGTCCCTGCCCATGGTTACAAAATGTTCTCTGCACCATTTCCACCTTCAACAAGCCTGCCACCAGGTGTAGCAATGAGGCAGGAGGAAAAGGTTGAGTTTATACCCCATCCATTTATACCCTGCCCATCTGGCTGGGTTTCCCCAGCCACTCTGGGCGGCTGCCAACAGAACATTAAAAACACGATAAAACACCAGACATTAAAAACTCCCCTAAACAGGGTTGCCTTCAGATGTCTTCTAAAAGTCAGATAGTTGTTTATTTCCTTGGCATCTGATGGGAGGGAGTTCCACAGGGAGGGCGCCACTACTGAGAAGGCCCTCTGCCTGGTTGCCTGTAACCTCACTTCTCACAGTGAGGGAACTGCCAGAAGGCCCTTGGAGCTGGACCTCGGTGTCTGGGCTGAACGATGGGGGTGGAGATGCTCCTTCAGGTATACTGGGCCGAGGCTGTTTAGGGCTTTAAAGGTCAGCACCAACACTTCAAATTGTGCTCAGAAACTTATTAAGACTGATTTAACAGTTAAAAAATATATCAACAAAAACATCCAGTATTTCACTGTATTTACTGTTGGCCATTACCATGTGATCTGTGTCTCAATGGGTATTGGATTGCTCCATGATGTGGCATCAATCCTGACAGCTTTGTTCCTAACTTTCCATCTGACTTTCACTTTTTACCCATACCCCGAGTGGCCACCCAAAATTATGTAAACCCTTGTCTGGACCCCAGAAGTCCTCTGCCAGTCAGTGTAGGCAATACCGAGGTAAATGGATCCATGGCCTCACTCAGCTTAAGGCAGCTCCCTGTGTTTCTGACACCTACCGTATTTCCGCGAATCCAATGTGCCATCGAATCTAATGCGCACCTCAATTTTCAAAGCCTTTAAACCAAAAAAGTATTTGCTATGCCAGCAGTGTTTTTCAAGCTTGCAATCGAATCTAATGTGCCATCACATCTAATTCTGCACCCTGATTTTCACGATCTAATTTGGCCCCCCAAAAGGTGCACATCACATTTGAGTAAATAGGGTATAAAGATCAAGTCTGTTATGCTATGGAAGCCCAGTGCTCCTTAGCTCCTGCAGAGTGGTGTGCCTTTGTTTATACTGCCTCTAATTCCTTAATTTTAAACATTCACAGTCCAGAGGCATAAAATGCCCCAGTATAACATCTGGGATGTGTTTGGCCCTTGGATGAAAAGTTGCTGATGTTGCAATTTATAAAGCAGCCTTGGAAGGGATTGCCATCAAATAGATGGATCTTGTCACATCTATCATATTAATGATCCTTGAACGAAGAAGTACTAAGTACAGATCAGCACAATAAACCACAATGCTCCAAAGCAACCATTAGGGTCGCATCTATTTTATGACTGATCTCTCGCAATAATTGGAATTCTCCTATCTCCCGTAACAGGAAAACATTTAACCGTTGTGGCAACTATTAAGGGAACGGGCTCAGCAAATGTAGATGCCCTCTACCAAACATAGCCTCGTGGACCGCTTAATTTAAACCACAGCAAAGATAATTATCAACATGTTCAGCTTATCAAACGTGGATCTCTGGCTAAAACATGTTGCCTCTGAATGCTTGCAGCAATTCACACATACCTGAAAGCACCTATCGATTTCCAAAGAGAGCTTGTGCACACACTTCGAGCACTGATACGTTGCAAGGAGTGGGGGCTTAGAGCCTTCTCTGCCTTTCACTTTAACTTAAATTGAAGGGACAACTCCGTACACACAAATGGACATGCATCTTTACCGCTGAATAACAATGACTAGTGAAATCCGCTTATACAGAAGCACTAGGAAAGCACCAAAGTGTGTGCATGTGTAAGTAACTCTAGATCAGGAGAATTATATAAGGCTCTCAGTCGCATTCAGCTGCTCTCACTTTCAGTTGCAAGTGGGGTGGAAATCATTAACCATAGGCATGTGACAAATCGATCAGGAGGCAGATTTAGCCTACCTTTAATGAAACATGGGGATAAATGATAATTATCTTGAGATAAAACATTACCTCGGGGTTAAACCTTTCAAAATTGCAATGCATGCAGAAGAAGAAGAAGAAGAAAAACTTAAATCTTTGTTTTAGAGACAGTCACTAAAATGCAATTGATGCACAACACAAGCACCGAAATAGTTCATTTTTGTTGAAGTCGGGCACATAGCCCAGTGCTACAATTGGAAGCTAGAAGGCAAGTCACTTTTCAGCCCAGCAACATCACTGGAAAAATCCTACATCAGTGTTGTACGTTTGGATCAGGTTACATAGCAGCACAAATCAAGCATGGATTGACAGCCAGGAGCCACCGAGAGCATGGAAATGTAGGGTGAAGTCAGACCAGCAGCATTATTAAATATAGTTCTTTTTGCAATAATTAATCTACCAATGGAGAGGTGAGGTCATTGTTCTTATTGAGATAAATGCAATAACGTCTTCCCTTCTTTGCGAGCAGTCTGGAAAGCAGAAGAGAAAACAGAAGGGTTGCATCTGCGTTGCTGTAATTTGTGGCTAATTTATTTTCAAATATATATAAACGAATGCATAGAAATGAATGCTTAATTGCTAATATCTATTATTTATTATACATCACCCTCTTAAAATGAGGGGAAGGGGGAAGCAAAAAGGCTCATACATGCAGATTTTGCAAAATATGTTCTCTCCATTAGCACAGTTTCATGGCGTGTGCTCTGATGGGGATTTAAAAGCATCTTTAGTGTACGGCACGGTCTATGTGCTAAAACATTACTTTATTATTAAAATGTTGTGCTTTTTGTGTGGTACTTTCCCCCGAATAATGGGCAAAGTCTTAAGAGCAATATCCATTCTCTGATTAAAATTATGCAGATGCCAACAAGGTTAATAAACTGAAGATCGTGCATATTATTAGGAAAACAGAGCTTACATTTCAAGTAAGAACTGAAAAGATCCCTAATTGATGAGTAATTTCAAATTTGATATTCCTTCTATCTTGGTGCAAAAGGGTGTGGGGGAGGGAAGAATTTCATAAATATATAGTACCTAAAAGAGAAGAGCCTTAATTACACCATGGACTACTGGATAAAATGATTACATTTTCTACACTGTAAATTCATACAATTAAATGCAGCAGTGTCACCTTATAAAATGTTTCAATTTGATAATTATTTCAGTTCATTTACTCAGAAAAAATACAAGCATGAATTTACTAAGTATCTCCCAAATCTAGTCATTTTCATTCTCCGGGACTGACTTGGAAGTTACTTTTGCTTGTCTGAACTTAAATAGATCCCTGACAAATTTAGATAACTATTAAAATTGATAATATTATGGGTGATAGCTTACTAATAGAAATTAATTCAATGCTGTGCTTCTAGGGTTATTACCTGATATTGTAAAACTACATTTTAATATAACAGTTGGGATGTTTAAGGAAGCTTTTGCATGGCTCTTATTATTTTTTTAAGTACTTAGGGGTGAAATTCTTGTTTAATACTGCTTGCTGCGTTAAAGAGATTGTGATGTATAATGAGACTTGTATGCATAAATGCACATCAAAGTGTGATTACAGATCACAATTAACCAAGTGGCAAGACAGTGTAGTCTGCATATCGCCACTTGGCAATCTCTATATCCCTGCAAGCAGCAGGAGACTATACCATTTGCCTGCTTCTTCAGTTGCACAAAGGTGCAGGTGTGTGTTAAAATTCTTCTAACCACTTCGCAGGATAGTGCAGATTAGCCAATTTAACAGAACATTAATGTGCCCATTATGGCGGCCTCATTATTGACTCCTAAACAAATAAATAAGATGACTTGACATTTTCTCACTGATGTGACAACATGCAATATATACACTCTGTCTAAGTAGAGCCGGTGGAGTAGTGGTTAGATTGGCATACTAGGACCTGTGAAACGAGGGTTCAAATCCCCTCTCAGCCATGAACCTCATGGGGTGACCTTGGGACAGGCACTTAATTTCAACCTTCCCTACCTCATGGGGTTATTGTGAGGATATAATGGGGTGGGGAAAGAACAGTTTTGTTTTGTTCATTTATTGAATTTATACACTGCCCTATACCCGGAGGTCTCAGGGCGGTTCACAAACAAGATCACAATTTATAAAATCAGATTAAAAACAATAACCCAATACCCCCCACAAAAGAACCACAATGTAAGCCACCTTACATTAGGTGGGATGCAATTGCCCAGGCAAATGCATTATGTGACCCATGAGAGCAGCAAAATAACCAGACTCTACAACATTGGCGTGGGTGGCGCTGTGGGTTAAACCACAGAGCCTCTTGGGCTTAACAATCAGAAGGTCGGCAGTTCGAATCCCTGCGACGGGGTGAGCTCCCGTTGCTCGGTCCCTGCTCCTGCCAACCTAGCAGTTCAAAAGCACGTCAAAGTGCAAGTAGATAAATAGGTACCGCTCCACCGGGAAGGTAAACGGCGTTTCCGTGCACTGCTCTGGTTCGCCAAAAGTGGCTTAGTCATGCTGGCCACATGACCCGGAAGCTGTACGCCAGCTCCCTTGGCCATTAAAGAAAGATGAGCGCTGCAACCCCAGAGTCGACCACGACTGGACCTAATGGTCAGGGGGCCCTTTACCTTTACTTTTACAACATTGATGAGATAAAATCAGACCAAATCTTTATTGACAGCAGCATGCAAGGTAAGGGTTGGCATGGCATCGGGTCCCAGGATCAGTTCCATCATTCCACAAGCCCCATGTTGATAGAATGGATCTGCCAGATTTGGACAGCCCCAAACCCATAACTTGGGAGTTGGTCAGTGTTGAACTTTGACATGGTGCAAGTGAAGCAAGGAAGGTCTCACTGGGTGACCAGGGTGCAGATTCCAACCAGGCAAATACCTCAACCCAAGTTTGGGAGTGTCATGGTCAATCCTGCCCTCAGGCCACTTATGCCTCTCCCCCACCCCCTTCTATGTTGATTCTACACTCCCTCATGCAAACAATGTTCTTCCGCCTAACAAAGGAAGGCCATAATTTCATTGAGGGAAAGATGGAAAAACCCAGCCAAGTGCCAATCGAGTTGAGCAAGAAGAGAATCCTTTCGGGCCCTGTCAACCCGTGACCCAAAATTGCTCAGTGAAGGCTCTAAGCTGAGGCTAGGCAGGCGAGAAACTCTCAAGGCAAAATGGGTCTGAACTCCAGGAGAAGCAAGCTTCTACAGTCATACCTCAGGTTGAAGTATTTTCGTGTTGCGCACTGTGGTGACCTGGAAGTAATGGAGTGCGTTACTTCCGGGTTTCGCCACTTGCGCATGCGCAGACGGTCAAAATGATGTCACGCGCATGCGCAGAAGCGGCGAATCGCAACCCACAGACGCGGGTTGCGTTCGCTTCTAGATGCGAACGGGGCTCCAGAGCAGATCCTGTTTGCATCCAGAGGTATCGCTGTATAGGCTTTCCCCTCCCCTTTGCAAGGGCTCATGGGACAGCTTTCCCCCCATGAGCCTATGGCACAAACAAGATACTCATCTGCTTGCGCGCACACAGCACTTCCCTATATGCAAAAGTAAGTAACATGCAGTTCAATAGGAATTATTTCTAGGTAAGTGAGTATAAGTAATAATAATAAAACAGTATTGCAGTGGTCTGCTTCCCTTTCATCCCACCCGTAGCTGCCTACCCAGGCACAAAAGCTAGATGGTTTTGGCAGAAATTCCAAATGCGTAAACTCCCTAAAATCGCAGGAAACACCTTTTCTTGAAATCTGCACCTCTCCAAATTTTGTAATGCAGCTTTTAAACCAAAACAAATGTACCAAAATGCATCCATGGGGGGGGGGGGGGAAGAATGGCAAAAATGCATACATTAGTGAGAATAACGGGAAAATGCAAATTAGGGGAAATCGCTCACAAAAGATGTGTAGGCTAAGAGAAACGCACACTAAAATGTTGATGATTTTTTGTGAGGACTTTCGTGGGGAATTCAAAATCAAATGCCAAAATCTTGCAAACTGAAGAAGAGTGGGGGAAAGAGAAACGAAGAGAGATCAAAACTGATTGGTTCATCCATTCCTAGTGAGAGAACCAAACAGATGTGGGTGCAATCTAGTGCACATTTCAGCAAAATTAAGCTAATTTAACTGTGCCCTGGATGTCACCCTTAACTGCAAAAGATGGGGTTATTTCTTCCTTTTGTGATAATCCTTGTCATCGTATCAGTCACAGCCCTTAAAAAAAAAAAAAGTTACAGTGGTACCTTGGTTCTCAAACTTAATCCGTTCCGGAAATCCATTCCAAAACCAAAGTGTTCCAAAACCAAGGCACGCTTTCCCATAGAAAGTAATGCAAAATGGATTAATCTTTTTCTAGACTTTTAAAAACGAACCCCTAAAATAACAATTTAACATGAATTTTACAATCTAACTAGACCATTGATCCATAAAATGAAAGCAATAAATAATGTACTGCAGTCACACAAACAATCAATCAGTAACTGAACTAGGTTCCACACAGTTACAAAAACAAAAAAGAGCTGCAACGCAAAATAAATAGCCAAAACAGACAGACCTCAGCGCAACACTCAACATGGAAGTGTGGCACTCAAAATGGAAGTGTGGCACTCAAATCGGAAACGTAACACTCAAAATGGAGCACGTTTGGCTTCTGAAAAGAGTTTGCAAACCGGAACACTTACCGTATTTTTCGCTCTATAAGACGCACCAGACCACAAGACGCACCTAGTTTTTGGAGGAGGAAAACAAGAAAAAAAATATTCTGAATCCCAGAAGCCAGAACAGCAAGAGGGATCGCTGTGCGGTGAAAGCAGCAATCCCTCTTGCTGTTCTGGCTTCTGGGATAGCTGCGCAGCCTGCATTCACTCCATAAGACACACACACATTTCCCCTTACTTTTTAGGAGGGAAAAAGTGAGTCTTATAGAGCAAAAAATACAGTACTTCCGGGTTTGCAGTGTTTGGGTTCCAAGTTGTTTGAGTACCAAGGTGTTTGAGAACCAAGGTACCACTGTAATGGGTCCATTTAAGCTGCAAAGTATACTGAATTTCTGCTCCATCCCTGCTTGATCCACATAATTGCAGCATAATTACTAATCAGGTTGTGATCATTTTAACACACTGAAATGTTGCTAGTAAAACATTCCTTTAAATGCATATTACTATTTGTAAAAGTTTGAGAGGGTTTTTCGCTTTAAAGAGATGATAGATCTGGAAATGCAACGAAAGCGCATTATGGGTAAGAAATATGTGAAAGTAACACAGAACGGATAGATTTGGACATCCCTAATTTGGAATAATTAAGGGGTGTGTGTGCATGTATACATAATAACACCCACAAGAGGAGCCCATATTAATTTAGTTTCTGGTTGAGTTCGGGAAAGTGTGGGAAGTCTCGCTTTATCATGCACTGGATGGGCAACAATGTTCATGGATTTGTGCCTCCTGTGAATCTCACTCCTTGCTCTTCTCCTTTTGAAAACAGATGAATGTGCCACACTCATCTTGGCCTGCTTGTTCTGCCAGTTTTGGGACTTTCTGTTCATGTTGCCCGATGTCTGTGAAAATTGGTTGACCAATGTGTGCTGCCCTTCCCATAGATATTACCAAACCTCAGGCGACGACACAAACAACGGCGACTGCAGCTGTGATTGTGACATTGATTGCAGCATCCTTGAGTCTTGTCATGAAACCAGCGAGTGTCTGGAGCTGGCCCTGGAGATCTCTCAAGTCTGTTATCACTAATGTAAAACAGTTGGCGGCATGTCCAAGAACCATCCCTGCTGAAACAGACCTAGCTCCCCGAAGGATATACTCGTTTAAAGCAGAATAATAGCAGTAAATAATAAATAAACAACATGTATGAAGAGATCCTGTTTGCTAGCCGGGGTTGTGTCTGTGCATCTGGTTATAAATCTTGTACATTCTGTATAGCAGCACAAAGAAGATTCCATTTTTTTAAGGATTTCCTAACTGCGGGGCATGGGGGGCATGGAGGAGAGAACGGAAGCCATGAAATTGCCTTCAGAGTTTTGCAACAAATTTTATGAATTGTATGTTTGTTTGTTTTCTTTAGAATGTTTTTTGGCTACCCAATCAAAAGTGCATTCTGCAGGGTTCTCAAAGTGTTCAAACAATACTAAAACATTACTAAACACACACACACACAAAATCAGTTCAACTTTCTGCCTAAAAACCAGTGCAGGTAGCATTACAGATTGTTACTACTTAGCAGGAAGTCGGGTGGGGCATCTCTAAAGGGCCTGGTGAAATAAAAAGCTCTTCAATTGGCACTAGAAAGATCTTAATGTAGTGCCAGGCGAGTCTTATTCAGGAGAGCCTTCCATAACAGGAGTACCACCACTGAAAAGGCCCTCTCTTCAGCAACCACCTGCCTCACCTTTTGAGGAAGATGAAGAGCCTTCGATGAACATCCCATGCCTTTAGCAGGAGGTAAATTTTCAGTTATATGAAGAATTCTGGCAAGTGGTTAGAAGTCATCTTTTTCTCAGGGTTACACAGTGAGGCCAATTCCTTGTTGTTTTGGGGTAGACAAAAGAAAATAGTTCTTTACCCAGCACTTTATTTATTCGTAAAATTAGTTCTGGCGACCTTTTGTAGCATAGCCCACTACCCAAAGCAACTTAAGCATAATAAAAACACACACACACAATAATTCAAACCCTAATAAAACACAGCAGCTAAACAGTAAATTGACACTTGAGCTAGATGTGGCAGCAGTGTGAATTTCAGCAAAAATATGCAGGCAGGCTATGAATTCTAAAATAACTTTTTTAGCTGTAGAACCAAAACTTTTTTAAAAAATTGTTTTCTTATTTTTGACAACAATCGCTCCTCCTCCCCCATATGCAGGAGAAATTCTAGCATTATTTTTAGGACTGGAGTCAGCTTATCTTCCTAATGGATTTTATATATAAACACATATTCCACATTGTTGGTTATTATCAATAATGGATGATGTTACATCCTTTGATAATTAAAGATTTATTCATATGACCTTTTACAACACACACATACAGGCTTTGTTTGGGTCAAGGAAAATTAAATGAATTAGAAACCAGGTACTCATTACAGCAAAGGTGTCTTCTAAAGTGAGTTTTAAAGAATGTGTTTGGGTTTGTTTCTTTTGCAGAACGTCAACCGTGTTTTCACATTAGAGGTTTTCACTGTATTATAATGTGTCATACCTATTTGTGTCTTCTTAGTGTAGATTGGCCTTAATAGAAAATGAGGCCACATTTAGGGAAGAAGTTGCTCTAAAACATTTCGCCAGGTACCTCCCCATCCTGCCCCCCATGACCATATGAGCCCTCCAGATGTTTTGGGGCTACAATTCCCATCATCTCTCACCACTGGTCCTGTTAGCTTGGGATGATGGGAGTTGTAGTCCCAAAACATCTGGAGGACCAAGTTTGGCCATGCCTGCCATATGACAAACAATAAGAGCATTCTGGGTGCCAACATATTGGTGGAAATTAGACAAAAGTTTCCAGATATGAGCAGAAGAAAATGCATTTTGTTTACTTTTGTTGTTGTTAAAAATGATAGTCTGGAGAGATTTAATGGAAATTCTTATTCCCCCCCCCCCAAAAGCGTCTTGGAGCTGTGAAAGAAATGAACCCACGAGAGTCACACAAATTAAAACGCTAAAATCCTGTGAAATACCAAGCAAAGATAAATGTGAAAGTTAGTTGTTCCGAAGGCAGATTTATAAACTGCTTTGCAGATGTTGTTTACTTTTGAGAGTATATAACCTGTGTTCTTAAAACACCTGATGACTATTCTCTGGTTGACAAAAAGCATATGGCAGCAACTGGAATCTCCTAATCCAAATCCATTCTCCTAAAAAGCGCTGACTGAAATTTAGCAGCCAACCCAGAATAGGGGCAAAGTGAGCAGCAATTGTGGCCTTCCTACATGCTGACAGGCAGCTTTGGGGACGTTTGAGGCCCCCCCCCCCCAGCTTTTCAAAATTGCAAAACTATCTGGAAAAGGGAGCATATTAGGAACAGAAAACTGGGCTAGATTTCTTACATGTTTCTCTTAATGGAATTGAATTGATTTAAAACACTTTGCCATGAGGGAACCCACAACTTAAATGATTTAAGCTGTACAATATTCTGACACAAACAGATGTGTTTTCTTTTCCAAAGATATTTTTTAAGTATAGTTGCCATGTGAAGCTAATTGTGAAATCTTTTGGAGGCGGTATTAAGAAGATGATTGCTCTTCCTTTTTCAAACGTAAAATCTATATGGGGGGGGGGGGGAATATGCATTCCAGTTGGGATTTGAATAAGCGCATGAGGAATATCTTGAGCAGCCCAACCCCAATCCCTTTTAGCAGTTTGGCTGGGAGACAAATTAAATGGAGCAAAAGCTTCGATCTTCTGCCCATTCTGGGAGTAAGCACCATCAACCTCAATGAGACTTACTTCTGAGTACACGTTTATAGGATTGATCTTCAACTGTATTTATTTATTAGATGGAAAAGATCCTATTGTCTCTTCTTAAAAGATAAATAAACAGCGTTTTAAGATCATTGTGTATGAGTCAGATGTGCTATGGGGTGGGGGAATGGCCTCCTCAGAAATGGATTCTTAAAGTGGCTTTTGCCAAACTTCCTTTGTTTGTGTGAATTTTCTACTCAGTACAAAGAGCTCTGGGGAAAACTGACAGACTGTCCTTCTTAACTGCAGTGCTTTTGGAACAAGCCAGAGGAATATTTCTGGCAATGTCCACACTACAGATAATGACACCTTCTCTATAAAAAAAATCCAATCTCTGGTTTCCTTTGGTTTCATCTGCAAGTTGAAGCTAGCAATAAAATATGTCCATGTATAAAGCTCCCATAGTTGAATTACACCATATGTCACCATGCAACAGATTCTACCACCTAATCTGTAAATTTCATAGATTTAAAATTTGATTGTCCCACACTTGTATATTTTGTTTGTTGTTAGTATTGTTCTATTTGTTTTACTTTTCTGTACCCTAAACTTGATGTAAAAAAGGGGGGGATGACTCCACCCACCCATTCTTCTTTATTTACATCACTAGTGAATGTTTTTAATCCCAAAACTATGAATGGGAGTGGGCCTCACTCACAGCTCTCTGAGGCAAGGGTAACCAATGTAGTACTCCAGATGTTTTGTACTCTCCAGATGTTTTGGACTACAAGTCCACAGCCAGCACGGTTAATGGTCATGGCCAGTGTAGTTCAAAATATATTGAAAGACAACTACCTCAGCTCTGAGGCATCTGAAATGTTCACATTTTGAAAGGGCATTTTAGACTAACGGCATAATTCTAATCTGTCTAGGTTAAATGGAACTCAGGGATTTACTTATGAAGAGATGAACACAGGTTTGCAGTGTTAGTGAGGAAGGAGAAGTTATATAATAGATGCTTTGGCAAAACAACATGTCCCCATGCTCATTTGAAGTGATCACAATACAAATGGAGATGCGATTTTGTAAGCAAACAAGAAAAATTACCATAGGCAACAATAAAAAGATATTCACAATGAATATCCCTCCCTAACTTTGCTGTGCATTTTCCCACTTAGAAATAGAAATAATGGAAGGGGAGAGAGCAGCAGATATTATTAGATCAACTGCATAAAAAGGATTCCATTAGTATATCGCAGATGAGAAATGAAAGGATTTACATCCAATATTAGTATCATAAAATTGTGCAGTTAAAGTAACATCCACTTTGGAAGAGGCTAAGAATTGTTAACAACAGTGCAGGAAAACAGCTGTAATTTTTGTTTATACTTTCAAAACTCATGCTTCATCACATGCCGAATTTATCCCTTTGTGGCTGAAAATACTTGTATTTTGTATTGAAAGCTAAGCAATTTGTGCACAGCTGCCTTACAGTAAACTCCTTTGTTCATTTCTGTTCCAGTGAATTATCATTGTCCCCCTCTTTTTTATTTGAGTAAATATAGATGTTCCAAATAAACTATAAAGCTGCAAGTCCACCTACCTGGGAATGAGCACAATGGGACTTACTTCTAAGTAGGCATGCAAAGGATTGCATTGCTTCTCCTAAATTAAAATCTGTACTAGGCTCCAATCCATTTACTTCACAACATTGCATAAAAGTGAATAATAGCAAGTAAATACATCTTAAGTTAAAATAATAAATTTGAGGTTACACCGTGTGACTTAGTGGAGTAGGATGAGGTATGTGGATAACTTGTTGGGATACTGCCAGGGAGACAAAGTCCATCCTGACTCCATGTCGCCTCCGGACGATCTATCGATCTCCCGTAGATACAGTATCAGCAATTAGCGACACGAGCTCCAGAAATAGCTTGCCACATTCCAGAGCTGATGCACGCCCTATCAGCAGAATTCACACAGCGAAAGATGCACTCAGGAGAGCATATTTACAACTTTATTCAGCGTTGGTCAGAACAAAGAGAAAACATGACTGCCTGCTTCAGTGTCTCAGACACAGAGAGAGAGACGAAAGCAATAGACAAAACATAAACTTCCTGTGAACAGGAAATACGCAGACTCTGTGACTCACAAAGCCTGCTCCCTTTTGAGGTGGAACGGAAATATCCTAACTTAACTATCATATATAATTACAGCAACACCACTTTCTCTCAGTATCTCCCCACACAGTCTGGTCTTGCTTTAAGGCATTTGCCATAGCGTGATAAAGAGAATGTCATTCCCCCCTCATTTTTTTTTTTTAAAAGTAACTCAA